CCTATTCCTGGTGGAAAACGTGGCAGAATGGATTGACTCAGTGACAGTCACACCAGGAGCTCCCACCTTGTCCATTCTCTCAGACCAAACTAACAGAGAACAGTCTGGTCTCATTGTTCACTTCAGCCTCTGCCCTCCTGCTACATCACAGGGGGGGCTTTTCCCACAGCCCTTCCCCAGGTACAGAGTTTCTGGAGTGTTCTGAGCTCCCACCCATCCCACCAGGGCAGGAGGCTCCTCTGGGACTTGATCTTGTCCTTCAGATCTTCACTGGTGCCTCCCCAAAGTCCGTCAGAAAGCCCTGCACAGCAGGTCCCTTGCCCTTCCCACTACGTTGTAACGGGTGACTTCCAGTATATTGATCCAGCTGAGGGGCCAGGGCTGTGCAAGGGTGGCCCAGGGCTGTCTCAGCAGCTGTGGTGCCCTGACCTGATGAACATCTAGGCAGTTGTGCACCAGGAACTTGGCCAGAGGGGTGGGTGACATCATGGAGAGCTTTAAACTTGCTGCTTTTCGAGGACGTGGCAAAGCCATTTTGTCCCCACAGGGTGGGACAGTTAATCCAGGCTCTTCTGCCTGTGGAAGCCTCTCCTTGCTGGGAGCTGCCAGGAGCACTGGAGCAGCACCAGAGCTTTTGCTGGCTTTGTGTCCCAGTCCAGAACAAAGCACTTGTTGCCTTTGGGTGTCGATCTCACCAACGGCCTGGGGGGTCCTGCTGAACTGCTTCAGAAGGTGGCCAAGCACAGCAGGACCTCCCTGTGCTGCACCAGGGATGCTGTGCCAGCTGCACCCACACCACGTGGGCTCCTCATTGCCCTTTTCCTCCTGTATTTTCTTCATCTGGAAGCTCTCACTCTTCTTCCATGAAGCCACACTGCCCACACCTCAGCTGCTCCCTGGCGACAGATGATGTGGAGGAGCTGTTGAGGAACAGAGTGAAACCCAGCTGCATCCACCAATCCTCTAGGAAGGGAGCTGCTGGCATGGACAAATCATAGAAACATAGAATGGTTTGGGTTGGAAGTGAACTTAAAGATGGGTTTGTTCCATCCCCCTGCCATGGGCAGGAACATCTTGCACTAGCCCAGGTTTCTCAGAGCCTGGTCCAACCTGGCCTTGAATTCTCTGGGTGGGAATTCCTGACTAAGAAATCCCTGCTCTTCCCTGGACTCTGCTCTCTGGCTGTAACTGAGGGATGGGAGAGGAATTCACCTCCTGAGCAGCCTGGCCTCCTTCCCTGCCAGCTCCACTTATCCCTCCCCAGTCTGGGAGCTGCTGGAAGGGGATGGGATGGAGGAAATGGCTTTCCCACAGGACACTGAGCTGAGAGCAGGATGTGTGATGAGCTGTACAAATGATCTTCCTGGAAATGTCTGATTAGAGGATAATCACCATTTTCCTACTTCTTGGTGGGTTTGGAAGCTCTCAGTTAACAGGGAATGGTCACTATTTTCTTTGTGCTGGGCTAAAATATCTGAGTGTGTGTGTGTGTTCCTGGCTACGGATTGTTTTGATCAACAAAGAGGATTCCACATGAGCTATTTTACGGCTCTGTAATGACTATTGGGGTGACAATCTGAATCTGCATTGTGGGCTTGTATCCCTTCCACTGCACTTATCCCTAACTGGGAGATCAAGGACAGGAGGAGCCAGGGAGGAAGATAAGGACCGAGCTGCTGTTGTGAAAATGCAGTCTTGAAATCCTCCTGTGCTGAGTGGGATGTAGTGCTGCTGGCCAGGGTTGTTTTGCAGTGACTCAGGGCATTGTTATTCTACAGGTTTTCTTATTCTTAATTAGTGACTTTAGAAAGGGATGTAGGATGAAAATAGAAACAAATGGATATTAGGTGATCTCAAGGGACTGCGCAGCTGTGGACTTAGAACTGAAATTCTTACCATTTATTGCATATTTAGTGAGAGTTTTACACAGAACATGATGAGGGAAAGCACAGGAGTGGTAACACATGTATCAAATGAATAAACAGCATCCTGTCAGATAAATGCAGGAAAGTGTTCCTGTGTTTTTACCACTGTCCCTGTGCTGCCCATTTCATGCAAAATATATAATATCAGTTCCTAAACTTTGTAAATAAACCAATCCTCGAGTCCATGACCTGTCCAGAGGTGGTTTGGTTTGCTTTGATCCAAAGCCTTTGGATGAAGCTCCTGCAGCTCTTTGGGAAATGAGTGTTCCCACCAATACTTACAGTTTAATTCACTGGAGAGATGTGACTGCTCGGGAAAACGGAGCCTTTATTGCCTGTCAGATTTCCTTAAGGTTTATCCCTCCACACTTGGCAGTGTGCCTGTGTTGCTCAGCTCTCTTCTCCTGCTTCAGCTGTGTTAGAACTTCACTGAAAGCCTTTGATCAGCTGAAGCAGAGCCTGAGCTTTAAAAGATTCCCAACTTTGTCTTCCTTGTCCACCAGCCTGTTGTTCTTACACACCCCAACCACATTCAGGGCCTTTTGTGCTCTTCTGTGAGCAAAGGGAATATGTGCCCTGATCCATCTTGGAATCACACATGGATGGTCCCGTCTCTGAGGAACCTGGAAACACCTCAGAGCTGGTTTTCAGTCTGGTCCCTGTGGACACCAGCTGTCCAGGAATAATTTTACAGTGTCTGCAAAGAGGGAAAGAATAAAGAGTTCTTGGAGGATGAGCAGTGATCTGACTTGGAGAACTTCTAAAGGATCTTCTCCTCAACTAGAAAAACTCACAGGGCTCAAAGATTACAAATATATGAAAGACACTCTAGTAGGCATTTAAATTTAAAACATTTCTAAAGGCCTTGCAGTAAGAAAAAATTCCTTCTATTCCAGGATCTTGGAAGGGCCTCGGGCACTGCAGTAGGAACCATCCAGGTGTTGTGACAGCCCCTCTCCTCACGTGGTGGTATCTCAGTTGGACTACAGGGGTTGGACAAGGAGAGGACAAAGGCAGATAGCACAGAAATTACCTGTCAAGACGCTCAGTGGAAGAACCAGGGCAGGATTTCACACCTCTCTACCTCAGCCCAGGGGTGTCCTCCCGGTGACCTCCACACATCTGCCTCGAATTGTAGGGTAATTCCGGCTGGAAGGGACTTTTGGAGGGTTGTAGTTCACTTCCAGCTCCAAGCTGGCCAAGCTTCAGGCTTGGATCAGCTTTCCCAGGATCAGCTCAGCCAACACTTCCCTCCCCCAGTGGTGGGACACAGGAGCAGGACTGGGCCAGGTTGGTGGCAGGCAGAGGTGGCTGTGGCTCTGCTGGGGAAAGGTTGCTGCTGCTCTGGAGTTACCTGAGATCTCCTGAAGGAGCTGTGACCAGAGGTGCTCTTGTTCCAGTGGGTTGGGTCACCCTACACAGTGCAATCCTAAATGTGTTCTGCCCTCAGTGGCTTTGGTTGAGTTACATTTATGGAGGGCTCATGACACTGCTCTGCCAGCAGACCTGGAGTATTTTCTTCAGGGCCCCTGTGAGGCTTTAATTATGATGAATAATCCAATAATAATTATAAATAATAAATATAATTATGAATAATAAATATAATTATAAATAATAAATGTGATTATGAATAATTATAAATAGAAATTTAATTATTAGAAATAATATTATAATGTTATAAATGCTCCATGAGAGCATGAATTGACCAAGATACATTTGCATGTATTTTGTTTTTGTACCATGGAGGACACAACACCCGGGTGTGCAGGAATATCCACCCCATCCCTCATCAAATCCATGGAATCCTTCCTGTGTTCAGCAGCTGCTGCTGCTTAGAGAGGGATCTGAAACCCTGGCTCTGGGAAAGACAGTGGGAATTGTGCTGTTGGGCTCAGGGAGGGAAGGAATTAACATCCAAACAGGGCTTTGCTCAAGATTAGGTTGTGCTAATGCTTTTGTTAATGAAAAGAGGACTCAGCTCTGGTTTTAATCAGTTCTGTGCATAACAGGAGGGAAAGAATCATTCTGCATCAGACACATTTTTGCTTCCATCCCCTTCCAAATCTGTCCCTAGTCATTGCACAGCCTTGGTCCTCCTGGCTGTTCTTTTTGTGTGTTGTTGGAAAGGTGGAATTTCTGGCTGCTGGGAGCAAGGTCAAGGGCTCTGAAGGCAGTGGCCATTCACCCAGAGTGTGTCTGCATCAAAAAAAGAGCCCCCAAAGTGTGTCTACATCAAGAAAACAGCCCCCCAAGCATTATCTCCATAAAGGAAATGCTGTGGTCTTCATTAAACCAACATCTAAGGCTGAGTTCAAGCCTGGCCACTTGCTCTGGAAACATCTGGAGAGGAAAGAGAGAGTCCAGTTGGAAGGGCCACCGAGGCAATGGGATGGTCTTGGAGTGTCTGAGGGACAGATGAAGCAGCTGCAGCACAGTTATCACCCCAAGTGCTGCCCCCAGACACATGACTTCCAAATTTAAAATCAGAAGTGGATCTCAGAGGCTGTTCTGTCCTGATGGGAAATGTTCCTGGAGCTGGCCTGGCTTGAAGGAGTGATGTTCGAGAGCTGATGGTGCCTGCCAGGAGATGAGCAGCAGTTATTCATCCCAGAGGGCCTTTGCACAACACTTTACCTGCACAGGCACTGCAATTTTAACATCATTTAGTGGAGCTCTGTGCCAGCCCATCATCTGTGGGGTCTGGGATGATGGTTCAGGCTTTCAGCTTCCGTCCTTGCTTTGAGTTGCAAAGCATTCATTGTTTCAGACCACGAAAGAGGGGATTTTAACAGTGCCAGAGAAAATAAGCAGATGGTGGAGTGAATGGCAAAAACATGACAGGACTGCCCTGGTCTGCAACCATCTGGTTTGGACCTCAGTGGGTGTTTGGACCTCGGGTGGATGTTTGGAGCTCACACACACTCAGTCCATGGGCAACAGGCACGGGGCTGGGAAGGGACAGGGGCATGAACAGCCCACAGATGAGGATCTGACCTCAGGGAAACAGGCAGGTCCTGTTCCCCTCTGTGACAAGGAGTTCTGAATTCCACCCACCCCAGCTGAGCTGGCTGTGGTCCCCCTGCAGTGACAGTGGGTGAGGGCTCAGTGTCACTCTGGGGTTTGGCAGGACCCCTCTGGCTCCCTCTGACCCTTCTGCACGTCAGGGCTGAGCATTTCCTGCTGCCTGACCCAACTAAAGTGCAGCAATAAAATTCAGGGTGGAGCTGTGTCCAGCTCTGGGGTCAGAGAGGACATGGACCTACTGGAGAGAGTCCAAAGGTGATCAGAGGGATGGAGCAGCTCCACTGGGAGGAAAGGCTGGGAGAGTTGGGATTGTTCAGCCTGGAGACAAGGCTTTGGGGTGACCTGATTGTGGCCTGTCACTACCTGAACAGGCTCCAAAAGAGCTGGAGAGGGAGTTTTGACAAGGGCCTGGAGTGACAGGACAATGGGGAATGGCTTCCCACTGCCAGAGGGCAGGGTTGGATGGGATATTGGGAAGGGATTCCTCCCTGTGAGGGTGGGGAGGCCCTGGCACAGGTTGCCCAGAGAAGCTGTGGCTGCCCCTGGATCCCTGGAAGTGTCCCAGGCCATGTTGGAGCGACCTGGTCTGGTGAAAGATGTCCCTGCCCATGGCAAGGGGTTGGAACTGCATCATCTTTAAGGTCTTTTCCAACTCAAACCATTCTGGGACTCTGTGACTCCTTATATCACTTTTTTAGTGCATTTTTTCAGTTGCAGTGGTGAATTGTTCTCTCTAGAAACTTCCTACAGAGCTCTCTGTGTTCCTGTGGGGTAAAGATGATCCTATCAGAGAATCCCAGAACATGCTGAGTTAGAAGTGACAGGACAGAGGGAATGGCTTCCCACTGCCAGAGGGCAGGGTTGGATGGGATATTGGGAAGGAATTCTTGGCTGGGAGGGTGGGGAGGCCCTGGCACAGGTTGCCCAGAGAAGCTGTGGCTGCCCCTGGATCCCTGGAAATGTCCGAGGCCAGGTTGGAGCAACCTGGGTTAGTGGAAGATGTCCTTGCCCATGGAACTGGATAAGCTTTGAGGTCCCTTCCAACCCAACCCATTCCATAGTTCTGGGATGATTTTTCAAAAGCACATTTGTACCACTGGCTCAGACACATCCAGCTCCCTCAGTGGCAGCAGGCCCAGGGCACACTGTACACCAGCCATGGGCTCTGAACCCCTCTGAAGAGGAACAAGATCTAAAACTAAGGTAGAGAGCCTTAGATAAACTGCCAGCTCATTTCCACACTGTCCCACAGCCTTTCCAAGCATAAGGAATGAGGAAGATGGGGCCCAAAACGTTGGAGAGCTTAGGAAACGTCAGCCTGGCTTTGAGCGTTGAGAAGGTGCAAAGGACCTCCTGTGTGTGTGTTCATGTGTGTGTGGACTCACAGACCCCACCCCAAATCATGTTCCCTCTGCCTTTGCCTCCTCTTGTTCCGAGCTCTCCAGCTGCTCTTTTGAGGAGTTGTTTGAGCAGGTCCTGCAGAGAGGATGGGCTGGTCACAGTCACTCACATCCCTCTAGGAACATCCCTGGAGGAGCTTGGCTCCCTTCCAGCCCCTTCCCCATCAGGCTCTGCTGGGAGGAGCTCTGTGATGCCAGATCCCAAATGCTGCAGTTGGGATGTGCTGGAGTTGGGAAGGAAGGAGCTTGGTGGAGCTGGGTCCTGTCAGCTCAGGAGCTGCTCCATCACACCCCAAGCTGTCTCTGCACAAATAATTCTGCTTCAGAACCGCCTCTGATGGTTCAGATGATCCATGGCATGTTCCCCCCTCCTCCTGCCACTCCCTACATGGAATAGTGTTAGTCCAAAGAACCATCTACAGATAATTCTCTCTGAAGGCTTTTGGGGCATTAAAAAATAGATCAAAATTCTGTTGAGCTATTTATGCTGCTTTATTTTTACAGCTTTGACAGAGATGGGAATAGGAAAATGAGATCAAGATGCTTTTGGTACATTACTGGAAACAGAACAATAAAAAAAAAGAGCAACCTCCAAGCAGTTCAGGGTCAGATCCTGCAGGTAATTTCTGTACCAGGAGTGTGTAAAGCCCAGCAGGTTCTGCTCCTTCTGAGGGCTTACAGGGATTGTTGGTGCTCTTTTGAAGGCACTTGTCTTTTAGGAGTCTGTAATAATCTTTGCATTATACTGTTACAACATAATCAGGTCCTTGTCATGCTGCCAAGCCTGATAACATCAGAGCACTGAGGAATTGCAGCTCTAAACTTATTAGGAAGACCCAGCTCCATCCCAAGGTATTTCCAGAGCACTGGAGCTCTGTGCTCTGCAGGGATGTGCTCTCAGCCAGGTGGCAGCTGGGGGGGACAGATTTTTGGCTCCAGCTCCAGCAAAGACTGGGAGTCCAGGTGTGAGAGCATCTCTCCAAGTGTTCTCAAGATGGGATTTAAAAATATTCTGTTCCTCTTTTTTAAAAAAAAAAAAAATTTGGGAGCACTAAACCGACAGAGCTACAGTGGCTCTGCTACAGTTTAATTTTGCAGCAATTAAAGCACCAATCTCGATGCACTGGGAAGCAAAAAGCTGCTTTTCAGCTGTTTTTCCAAGCCAGGAGGATGTGGGCACTTGTCATTCCAAGGAATCCTCCCCACGCTGAGCTTTGTGATCAGAGCCTTTTAATTCCAGCTTCCCCCCAAGGCCATTCTCACGTCTTACCTGGTGATAAAGTCAAATCCTATTGCATGCCTTGTGTTGTAGGTGATGCACTATTTAGGAGGGGTTGTGTTGCATTTGTTGGGGAAGCACAGCATAAATTTTTCCTTGGAAAAGCCTCCAGCTGGAGCAAACTCCCCTCTGGGGAGGTGTCACCCCTGCTCTGCACTGGGGGGAATCTTGCTTTATTCTGACCTCTGCAAAACCTCAGATGTTAAACTATTTATGGTCCTTGCTGAGTTAAGAGGGTGAAAAGTGGTTGTTCCCCGGTGTTGCTGCAGGTTGGGGTTTGTGGAGTGGGCTGTGCACCTGCTTTGGCATTTTAAAGCAGTCATTCTGTAAGGAATCAATTCAGTCCTCTCAGAAGGAAAGGTAAGACATTTGGACACTGGACGATTTGGGCATTCCTCTTATTGCTCTGGCACAAGACAGACAGGAGCCTGTCCAAAGTATCATCTGTAAGGATAAAAAGTGAGAAAAGGAATGTCAAAAAGGAGAAAGAGAATGAATTTTTTAAAATCTATTATAACCCTCTCCTCCCACTTCCATCCTCTGCTGGAGTGGGGGTGGGCTGAGATGGTCAGGTTTGGATATGATCCATTCAAAATTCCTATTTTAAGGAGATGGGACATCATTACCCTGCCTGATCTTGTTGGAAACGATAGAACTTTTAAAATAACTTCACTTAATGGTTTTAATCAACTTTTAATTAATTGTTTTAATTAATCATAACCAATAGCTATTAATTATAAATAGTGTGTTATTCTTAAATTACTTACTCTTAATTCCTCCTATCCAGAATTTAGCAAAGTTGTCATAAGGTACTTTTGTGGGCAAATAGCTTGGGAAAAGTTATGAAATTTTAAGTTTTGATAAACTAACTCTGATCTGCTTCAGTGAACAAAGCTTGGGAGGGAAGGATGGACTGTTGGACATCTGGAATGCAGAATTTATGGACCGCAAAGATGTTTTGCAGAAACAAAAAGATAACAAAGAGACTCAGTATTTGTGTTGGAAACTCCCTGACAGAGGAAAAAGATCCTAAAAAGACTAAAAATATGAACTAATTGACATGAACAGTGAGGAATTAATAACCAATAGTGGATAGAATACTGATTAATGAACGAGAATTATGTAGTTCAGAACCAATGAACATTAATTACTTTGTTTGCTAAAATGCATAAAGAGGTGAAAAAGTTTTGCATCAGGGTCTGTGTGGAGGCCAAGATTTTGCTGGTCACACACAAACCTCCTGGCCAAGAATAAAGTAATTTACGCTCATTAACACTAAAAAGAGTTTTATTATGCTGATAATTTTGGAAGGATTTAGTGACAATTTGGCTTTTTGGCCCTGATCCTCTGGGAAAGGTTTTCCAGGGGCTCATGACAGAGGAAAGAAACCCACAGGTGCAGCAATGGAAGTCCTTTTCCTGTTCCAGCAGGCTGTGGAGTCTCCTTTGCTTTTTCCTAGAGGTTTCCAAGGGAACTCATTAGTTCAGGATGAAGCTGTGCTGGGATTTCCAGCAGGACCCCAGAATGTGCTGAGTGTGTGGTTCCTTAACTCACCTTAATTCAGCTCCCCACTCTGATGGTTCCAGGGGAGAGTGGCATTTACAGGGGACTGGAGGAGCATTTCAGTGGTGATACAGGACACAACATCTCTCTCTCTATAAAGATACACATAAAAATATGGAATATCAGCCAGCCTACTGGGTCTGAGGGTTCTGCAACGTGACTGTCACCCAGAAACAGCCCCCAGCCAACCATGTGGAGGTGTTTATTTACCAGAATTGGGATTTAACAGGCTGCCTGGGGGATGTGAGTGTCACCACAAGCCTTGTGACAGGGAAATAAAAGTCCTTCTGCTGAGTGGGCACCAGGTTTGGGGGCATTGCTGAGCACAGAGGTTTGGGGGAGCAACCCCTTCATCCCGTTCCTGACCCCTTTGCTGCTCTGGCACCTCGAGGAGCAGCACAACCTGGGCCCTGGGGACATGGAATGGGACACAGCAAAGTGGGAACAGAAAGGATAGAAAGGCTGGGAATGTGTCTGTGCATGTTGTTTGTTCTGACAAAAGGAATAATTTGGAGAGATACCGTCTCTCAGAACTGCACAAAGGAGCACGTGGAGAAATGATTATTTCTCTGCCTTTTTTTGCTGTTCCTCAATTTTCTTATTTAGCTCTTTGTTCTGATACATTCTGTATTATTTTAGCTTTCCTGAGTAATTGTGTTTTTTCCCTTAACTTTGGAAGTTACTTGGGAAAGAAGGGAGGGGGGGTGAAGATAAGGCAAAGCTGTTAAATGGGAAATCTATGGCTAATTAAGGCCTGGCTTTGCTAATCACCTTAGAAATGAAGTTATCAGTTGAAAAAGCTCGGAGTTGGTGCAATGAAAGTTTGGAATGGGCTTTTCCCCCCTCTTTCCTTCTGTCACAATGGATTCAGAGATTAAAAGTTTACCTTGCAGACAGATCTTGACACCACAAGACATGTTGTCTCTTTGCATTATCTGCAGGAGGCTGGAGCTGCTCTGGGATGGATTTCAGTTGGAATAGTTAAAATTTGGCAAAGTTATAAACAGATAAAGTCAGGATCCTTTAATGGGAGCTGTCAGTGTTCATCACAGATGTCACAGCACACTCCAGCTGGAGCTCCATGTCCAGGACAAGAGGGAGTCACTGTCCCTTCTCCTCCTTCTCCTTCTCCTTCTCCTTCTCCTTCTCCTTCTCCTTCTCCTTCTCCTTCTCCTTCTCCTTCTCC